GGATTCTTTTATGAAGTACACAATTGAATTTAATTAACTTATGCTAAATGTGAGTTGGTGGAACTAGAGGAGCACACAACAGTGAGTTATCTTGGAGGGTTGAAGCCACCTATTGACAATGTGGTACAAGTGAAGTCTTATCGTTGTTTACTTGATGTGTAGACTCTAGCTTTGCTGGTGGAAAAACATCACTAGGGGACTAGCACACTTTACAGGCAGAGCACAACCTAAGGATCAAACAGTAAGAACACACCCACCAGAGCACCCAATCTGGACCACTAGCACCCTCAAGTCTTTTATAGCTATGAAGTGCTTCCGTGATGATGACTTTGGGCATATAACATCCGACTGCTCAAATATGATGCATCTCTTTCACTAAGCAAGGGGTTGTGGAAGATGTACACAATGACACTAGAGACAATAGTAAATGAAAATGTTAGAGAGGATTATCGCTTCCCACCAATGAATGATAGATGCTAGTGATTTAATGGATTCTTCGGACTAAGCCTATGCGAAAGTATTAATAGCTCATCTTTTGTATCGATTGCAATGTGAAAAGAAATATGTGCAATTTTATCATAGATGGAGGGAGTTGTGATAATTCAGTGTCTACCCAAAATGTAGACTAATTGAACCATGTCACACATAACACACCTAATCTTATTTTTAGTCATAGTTGAACATGCTTCATAGGAAATATCTCGTAGTTTTTTGTTAGAGGCAAATTTTAAGAAGAGATGTATTGTGAACTGTCATACCTATGAATAGTTGTCATATCCTATTGGGTTGTATGTGACAGTACTATCATTGCGCACATCATGATGGCTATAAGAATACATTTCTTCAATGATGGGAAACATATCATACACTTTCTAGCATTTATAAAAGTGCTTAGACTATAGTGTCATCTTTCTGTGGGCTTTGAGAGAAGCACCAGTACAACTAACATTATTGATATTAGAAGGTGGTGAGTCCAAAGTGACACTATCAAATATAGTGTTGCCCTTGCTGAGAGAATTTTAGGATATTCTAATCGTCAATCTACCTTCCAGTATGCTATAACTACGGGAGATCCAACATGTCAGAGATCTCATTTCAGGTTTTGTTCTTTCAAACTAACCAAGCTAGCGGATGGGCCCAACAAAGTACAAGTTGTAAAGGCGTATTACATGATTTCTAGAGGTTTGATGCATGACATTACTAGTTCAGGTATAGTTCTAACTTGATTGTGCCTAAGAATGATTTTTGGCTTATATTTATTAAAAGTAGAGCTATGACCAAAATCACTAATAAGTGCCTGTTTCTTGTTCCAAAGTTGGTTGATATCTTAGATCAATTACATGGAGCCAATGTTTTTTGCAATATTGATTTGTTAGTGTTTAGCACCATATTATTGATGAGATCAGGAGATGAGTGAAAATAACCTTTAAAACACAAGTTAGATTGTATGAGTAGGCATTTATGCCCTTTGGTTTGTCAAATGCACTTGGCACTTTCATGTGGTAATGAATTTTGTTTTATGAGCCTATATCGAAACATTTGTGGTTGTGTATTCTGATGACATTCTGGTGTATAGTCGTTCAGAGGAGTATTTGTAGCATTTACAATGAGTTTTTGGAGTTTTTAGATGAATCTGTTATATATTTACCTGAAGAATTGTTATTTTCCTACAGAGATATGTTTTTTGGGCTATATTATTTCAGCAGTTGAAATTGAATTGGACCTAAGGAATGTCAAGATTAAAGTTTGATAATTCGCTTGGTCAGATGGCGCACATCAGGTTTGAAGCTTTGAAGAAATAGGTTACTCGAGCCTTAGTGCTAGCTTGTCCTCATTTTAATTAGGTGTTCGAGGTGGAGACGCCTCCAATATGGGGATTGAAGTTGTGCTGGGTCAAGAATGACGCCTTTTTTACTTTCTTTAGCAAAAAACTGAATGATTATTGGAGAAAATTCTCCTTCTATGACAAGGAGTACTATATTATTGTGATTGCTCTCAGTCATTGAATGAAATAATTCTAGCAAGTGAGTTCACTCTTTACATTAATTTTGAATCCTTGAGATTCATGAATAGTTAGAGCAAGTTATAGGGTAGACATGCCTTCTAGGTGGGGGTTCTTTTCTTCATTTTATTTTGTGCTCAAGCACAAATCAAAGAGCCAGAATAAGCTATTTGATGCCTCGAGTTCTTGTCACTTTCTAATTACCAATATGCAGTTGAAGGTCATTGACTTTGAAGTGTTCAATGATCTGTATGCCATTGACGATAAATTTTGAGACATTTGGGTTTGTTGTTAGTATTCAATTATATGAGCATTTTCAAAGATTAGATGGCTGCTTGTTCTAGGAGAACAAACTAAAGCATTCTTATGAGTACACAAAAAGAGAGTATTTTGCAAGTGTCATAATAGAGAGATGGTCGAACATTTTTGTAGGGACAAGACTCATTTTTTAGTGAAAGAAAATTTTTATTAGCCTTTATTGGTATGAGACATAGAAATGGAAGTTCTATAGTACGGATCTATAACTTAACTAGGACTCGAGAGTACAATGCAAATTAATACTCTCTTTGTATTCAAGTCATCATGGATTGATGTAAGCTTAGACCCTGTTGTGGGTCTCCCCTAGACCAATAGAGTAAAGATTTAATTATGGTGGTTGCTGATCGCTTTTTCAAGATGATATATTTTCTATCCTGTCACAAGATGGTGGATGCTACACATATTGCATGTTTATATTTAGGGGGGATAGTTCGTCTTCACGATGTACCCATCACTGTCAATAGAGACGTGAAATTTCCAAGTCATTTTTGAAAAATCTTATGGAGTATACTGGGTACCAAGTTACGCTTTAGTTCAGTAACATACCCCCAAGCTAATGGATAGATGGAAGTGGTAAATCTGAGTTTGAGGAACCTCTTTACATCCTTTATAGGCAAGAGCATCATTTAATGAGATTTGATCCTTTGGTTGTGTTTACTTAAACTGTTCCATTAGCTAGTTGCGTGGCTGCAACCTATTTGAGATTGTATATGCACAAAACTCTCCACTATTTGAGCTAACTTAAAGTTGATGATCAATTGAGAATTAATAAGATGATTAATGATAATGCCTACAAGATTGATCTACGGGGAGTCGAATGTCTCTCTTACAGTTAACATTGCTGACCTGTCATTGTATTACAAGATATGCATGCTTCCAAAGAAGAAGGTAATGGCTCTTTTATTATGGGAGATTGACATGGGAGCAGACACACTGATCCCCGCTTTTGTGGGTTCTGGAACGGAATTGGGGTGGGAGTTTGTCTCTAAGATCCTGTAGTGGAAATTTTTCCACCTGCTAGCTACTGTTGTGTGGGCCCCCTGTTTCTTTTTTTAAATTTATAATTAGGGTTTATTTTCTACCATAATATAAATATTTTATATAAAACTTCATTTGGAAACTTTTGGGTATTAATTCATGCAATAGAGATTTTTCTCTTGTTCGTTGCTGTTAGAGCGTTATATCCATTGATCTTTCTCAGGTGGTGCGGCCTGTAGCCTGATTTGATTGAGCTGGTATTTTCTCTTGGATGTCTGCTCATCATTGGTTCATCTATAGGTGTTGTCTCTTGTCATCGAGCCGCTTGGTGAAGCTATCTATCTGATCTCCTCTATTTGTGATTAATCAAGCTCCTGCTAAGCTCGCATGCTTTTTCTCTCATTTTCGCATGCTTTTTCTCTCATTTTCGACTAGGGTTTTGCTCATTTATTAAAACCTACTAGAGGTCCATAGCCGTCAATCGCTCTTGACGCTGCTCTCGGCTTCACACACCTTCTTGGTTGTGTAGGAGAATCTTCTGCCTTAACTCCTTCCTCTCGGTTTGATACGGAGTAGGGGTACCCTTCTGTCACTTATAGTAACAAACTGACCCTTTATCTTCGTCTCCTTCTCTTTCGACTCCGGTTTGCTTCGTATTCTGCAATTCTTCTCCTTCGTCTCTACTGATTCTTCTCCCCTTTGCTTGTCCCTCATTCTACATCTCTTAATTTCCAAATCACAAGAATGCCTTTTTCCTGAATGCTTTTTACTCTTGGCTGCACATCTTTTGAAACCCCTAAGTTTGCATGATGAGATATTACTGTAACTCAGACGATGCCCGCATTTAGTAGTCTTTAAACAAGTTGTGAGCTTTGATTTTTTAATATGATATTTTATGAAATATTGATGATTCTTGTACTATTTGATTGAAAATTTTCTTATTGGCTTAATCACCGAATGTGCAAAGGCAGGCACATATTCCGATGTTTATTTTCATATTTATATTGTGTCAATAGCCATTTGTGATGTTTTGGAATATTTTCTAGTATCGCCATGGCTGTTTATGATCCCAGATCAGAAAACTGAAGGTTTGTTCTAAAAACCATTTATTCAGGAACATCGAATGAATCATGAGTCTGAATTTGAAATTAGAACAATTTTCCAACGCAGTTCTAATGATGCTGATTAACTTGTTTGATAAAAGCTCTATCATATAAGTACTTGGATAACCATTTTAATGTTACGTGATTAAAGTATGATTTTTAAGTTATAGTTGTTGCCCGCCAGAAGTAAAAATGATACTGCAATAAAGAATAACAGAAGAGTGAAGCAGCTACGTAATTTTACCGTAAGTAGGGTTCTTAAGCTTCCTTTGTACAAGTTCGGCAAAATTGTAACACAACTTTAGAGAAAACTTAGTAATATTAATGGAGAATAACTTGGTAGATTGATAAGCTTTGTTCATATAGAGTTGAGAGCAGAAGCTTTAGTAGTGGATTTTTTATCCGAGGGCTAAGAAAGATGAAATTTCTGAAACCATAATGTGATGGTGTTTGCCGATAGGAATGGGGTTTGGCTTTCCCAATATAGTCAAAAAAGGATCTGAGGGGAGCACTGGACCAGTTTTTAGGGTTTTTGGTTGGGGTCAGGATTCAATATTTTATGTATACTGACTGGATTCCAATTTTTTGTTTCCTTGCAGTGTTGGCCAACCTCTATCTACTGAGCACCAGCAGGTTATCAAGGAGCAAGTTTTTGAGTACCATCCTGATAAGGATGGAAAACTCTCTGGTGGCCAGATTGATCACATTATGGTATGAATCTTTCATAATTATTAGCATGTGTCAACAAATAAAGTGCCATGTTTGAACTGAAGTTTTTTGGCTTGTTAAACCTATGTGCATCTCGATGGCTCATCTGTTAAAACTTATCAAAATTTTTGGTAACCTTTTTTTCAACATTTATGTGCCAGCTTTAGTCTGTTTACTTTTTCTTCATAATATTGCTGTAATTTTATTGATTGTTCGAAGGTCACAAAAAAAAAAAAATCTTTTCTTTTTTCTTTTTACTTCCTTTTTACACATGAATCATCGAATATAAGCGAGACAAGGTAAGCTACTTTTTTTTGGTTGTTTCAAAGGCCGTCTGATGTCTCCTACTTCTTTGCATATGCAAAATAGAATCATGAATTTATGTAAAACAATAAAATTCATACAGCAAAATTTATTTCACAAAATATTTGGGACAACGAGTAAATGAGGATGATCTTAATGTATGGATAATTGAAAATATTTCAGTTTATGTTAATTAATTACATCTTGTATGGGTTACATCAAAGTTTGTAATGTTGATATGTTTAGAGGATGGCAGTCATCACTTGGAGGGATGGATGATCTCATTGTTTAATTGACAGGTTGATAAGCACGAGACTTTCACGGACAGCAAGTGCTTTTTTGTTGTTTCAACCGATGGGTCGAGGTCTGACTTCTCGTACATCAAGTGCTTGATGAATCTGATTAAACAGAAATTCCCCGAGCATGGTGCGTCCTTCAACAGTAAATATTTTAGGAAGCGATCCTCTGCTCCTACAGATTCTACACAGCAATAGCCTGTTCTAAGTTTCTAGATCTAAGTTGTACAATAAATAACTTTAGAAGTTTGTTTCTGTAATATCCTTTTCCATATTTTGTACCTTGAAATCATCCTGCAAATTATCTATGTATGTACTTGCCATGGTGTAGATTATGTTGTGAAACATGAGTTCTCTGAGCTCATGACGCCCCTTCTCTCAGAGAGCAAGGAAATATTCTTTGGCAGCTTGTGCTGCAATTTTTTGTTATGAAATCTTTCCAAATTAGTAGTGATTACGGTCTACCTACTTATTCAACAGATTTATAAGGGTTATCGAAAGCAGTAAATGCTTCGAACAAATATTACATCCGGACTGGATAATTTACGTCTGGAGTCTAATAGTAGGGCGTCACGTGTCAGGTGGGCCCACTTTAATACATTAGGATTGATCAGTTTAAAAATTTGTGCCCACTTGATATATGACAGCTTACTATTAGACTCTGAATGTATCCGGAATCCTGACCTATTTTTTTTCTCAAATGAGTCTTTGGGAATGTGTTTGTATTGCCAAAGTTACCGTATGGAATGTCGGAGCTTTTATGTCTATAGATAGTGTAAAAGCATAGGAGTTAGTGCCTACTACCTCAAAAAATGCCCTGCTTTACCGTGTGAGTCGTATTTTTAATATTTATAGGAAACAGGTGCGGTACAATTTCTGATACTAACTTCTTTTAAATGTGCGGATATTGTTTACTGATGCTGCCGAGTGCTGAAGATAAGCGAGGATTTGTTCGTTTGAGCTTGTTGGGCTTTTAAGATAAAGTGGGTTTTAATGATGTTTTTCTATCATCCTATTAATTTAGTGTCTGTTTGGGGCAGCTGCAGTTTATATTATTCGAGTTGGATCGATCTTGACCCTCCGTTGTTCATGTGTCGAATTTGAAAATCCATTTTTAAGACAGTGCTAATGTTCCATGGACTGCATACTGGTTATGGCTTGTTAAGTAACTAATTTTTTTTTTCTCCCCTTTTCGCTTGTCTGTTAAAATCCTCTATGAAAAGCATTAAGCAGCCTGGAACTGCACTATTTATTTCAAAGGCAACAGGACATGAATTGATGATGTGGGGTGAATTGATAATGCAAAAGAAAGAGAAATTTATCTTGCCTTGTCAATTTATTTATTTTAATTTAAATATTTGTGCCTATTAGTTTGTTAAATAATAAGATTTTCTTCTAATATGTAAAATATGCCTTAAGAAAATTTTTAAAATATGAATTGAAATCTATTGCTATGTGGTATTCCATTCTGTCAGGTTTACCATAAAACCATTTAGACCCATGCACATGAAACTTGTGTCTTCATTTTAGTAGGATCAAATAAATATTCCATCTGCCATTTGCATGCATCGCATTGTAATAGTTCTAGGCTTAAAACAGTGGTTCGTGGACATTATTATTTATAATGAAAATTTACATACATGCCGCTCAAGGCCTGCGTATGTGTAAAATCTAAACTTCTAGCTTTTACGTGCACGCCATCATATCTATGTAGGACAAGATGTATTTTACTTTTTATAAGTTAAAATGGTGATATTTTTAGTGTGATATAAACTATTTAGGTGTTATAAATATCAAAAATACAACTTAGTTGTCAGATATGTAAATATATAGAAATGGGGTGGTATGTAAATATTCTTTTTTATTGATATGTTCCCAACAAATTTTCATCATTTGGAATGAATAGTGAGACTTTAAATGAATTTCAAAATAATTTTTTAGTAAGATATTTTCAAACTCAAATTGAAAATCGTCTAGAATTTTAATTTCAAACAACATACAATTAAACTGATCGGTTTGACGAAACAAATCTAGCGATATCAAAATTGGTCTAATCCGATTGAAATTAAGTTAAAATCAAGCTGATAAATTACTTTTGGAAGCTTTTAGTGCATAAATAAAAATTCAAATGAATTTCAAATCTCACATTCTTATAATTAAATTGAGCATCTCAATAAGTTAAATCCAATGAATCCAAGAACACTTAGTTCTACTATCGTGCACTTAAATGTTCATCAAACGTCGTTTGATTGATGCAGTGGTTTGAATTTCCTTATTATTTGAAGAGAGACAACTCCCATACTTAGAGACCTAACCCTTGCTTGAGTGGAAATCTAGATCAAGAGTTGGAAAAATACCATAGTTTCGAGGAGCTAAAGCTCCTCATCGTTTCTTGCATTGAAGATCAGATGAATTTTTCCCGCCTCTGTAGCCGCCGATCACGGCAGACTGCCACCTGTCAGTCATCGTTGACCACCATCAACTGACACTTACTTCTTAAAGTGAAGTCTATTGTGGAGACACAACGTGCATTGCAGAATCTCAGCGTCGTTGCAGAATAATGGAGCACTCGTCGGCGGGAAAACTCCAACTTTTCTTTTTCCTTCCAAAATACTAGGCGAGGTTGCCTAGATGTCAGCTTCTCAGCAACGTAGCGTAGAAAGTCTCCTCTAGTAATCGCCACAACTGAATGAGGAATCTCCTTAAAAAATAAGCACAATACAAAATAACATCAAGTTGATCGCCTACAAGTAGGTATGGGGACACCTTTTTTTCCCTAAAAGATTTACATCAATGCGAACGATGATCTCGTTGATCTCCTTGCAAGCAAGATGGAAGGTGCATTTTTCTTCTATAGATCTTGTTGATCACTTGCTAGCAGGGTGGCGGACTCAAAATTCTTCCTCTGGAAAGCATAATAACAGTGCAAAAAGAGACCCCATTGATCGCCTACAAGCAAACAGGAGATGTATTTTTTTTTCTCTTGAAAGTGCAATAGCAATGTGAAAAGAGATTTTGTCGATCACCTGCTAGCATGTTGAGGGACACATTTTTCTTTCTCCAACTTGTTCCTCCTTGGGAGGATCTTCCTTCTTATCTCTTCTTCTTGGAACTCTTCATTGTCCCTTACACCTTATTCTCCCCTTGCATCTCCCTCTTCACCTCCCAGAAGTTCCACTCCCATTGGGCCCATTTTTCTAGGCCCAAAGAGGCCTATATCTAACCAAATTTGGACCCAGAATTTACCTTATTTTTAATTTAATATCGGCCCTCAAAACCCAGTTGACTGATCTAGTCCCTTAGATCCCACCACTTTATTCTGGCCCACTGATCCACTACATTTGATAACATTTAGATGCGACCAAATAGATAGTTGTCTTGCCACTAAAAGCGTGGGCAAGGCCGGTGTGGAGCCTTGTCTACCCGATCCCTCAGGCAAAGTGACATGATTTCGGCCCGTAAGCACAAAAACAGACTCAACCCTCTAAGTGAATTTTTGTGTCGGACCTGGTGACCCGACAATTTACTCATCATGCAAGCTTGTATGCCAGCCCACTGTCCCGCTCGATCCACTAAAAGCGTGGGTCAGGCTAGTGTGGAGCCTTGTCTACCCGATCCCTCAGGCAAAGTGACATGATTTCGGCCCGTAAGCACAAAGACAGACTCAACCCTCTAAGTGAATTTTTGTGCCGAACCTGGTAACCCGACAATTTACTCATCATGCAAGTTTGTATGCCAGCCCACTGTCCCGCTCGACCGATAAAATGAATATTTGTATCCAATGATCGAATCAGGTCGGGCAAGAGAGAAGGAAGGAAGAGCCCTAGTTGAGCTATGTAACTTTTGTTGCTATATTATTATAATATTATATTAATAGCAACCATGTATTTAACACACACACACACACATACATATACACATGAACATTACAATAATAAAAATATAGGAAGAGCCCTAGTTGAGCTATGTAACTTTTGTTGGTATATACATGTATATTATAATCTTATATTAATAGCAACCATGTATTTAACACACACACACACACACACACATACATGTACACATGAACATTACAATAATAAAAATAATTTTTTTTTGGATTTTGATATTTTTGGGCAGTGAAGGTGGTTTCGCCCAAAAATAAGGTGCAACTAATATGTCATCAATAAATTTTCATCATCCAACAAAAGGCATGATACAAATCTCGAGACAGTTTTTTATAGTCAAACTGGTTGGCTTGATAAGACAGACCCAATGATACCAAAATTGGCTCGATCCGAGTCAAATCAAGCCTATATCAAACTGATGAATTAGTTTTGTAAGCTTTCAGTACATAATTGAAAAACAATTTCAAATCTAACATGCTTATATTCAAATCAAGCATTTCGACAAAATGAATCCAAAGTGTCTAAGATCATTCAATTCCAATATCATTAAGGCACTTAAATGTCAAACAAATCCAAAGAGACCAAGTTCATTCAATTATAACATCAAGCTTTCAGTGCATAGTTGAGAGAATATCTCTAGATCGTCTGATTGAGTGGTACAAATTTCTTCCTTATTTGCAATGAGGTTGAGAGAGGACCTAGACCTTTTATAGGAAGAAGACTAAAGCTTTAGAAGAAGTTGAAGCTCAACATTGTTTCTGCACCTAAGGTCCGTCAGATTCCTCCCACTAGTGTAGTCGTCGACCACCGTCAATCATCACCTGTCAGTACTGTCGACCACCATCAATCACCACCCGCTCCTTACAGTGAAGTTCCTTGTGGAGTCACAATGTGCATTGTAAAACTTCAATGTATGTTCTAGAGCAGTGGAACACACATATGAGTAATGCATCATTCAGTACAAAGTGTAACAATGCACCGTGAATATAGTGCAACAATATGCATTGATGATGGTGTAATAACGCACCCCATATATGATGTAACGAAGGCTTCCAAATACAGTGTATCAACACATCATCTCGAATACATTGTATTGACAAGCCTCGGTGATTGTGTAACAACGCACCCCACATACAGTGCAATAACACCTCCAGAAGATGGGGTAATAATGCATCATGAATACAATGCAATGACACACCTTAATGATGGTGTAACATTGCACCTCACTTACAATACAATGACGTTTCTCGATGGCAATGTAACAGCACACCACACATATGATGGTACGATGCCTCCCAATGATTGTCTAATAATGCACCCCAAGTATGGTGCAATGACACACTCTGATAATAGTTAAACAATGCACCCTACATATAGTACGATCATACCTCCTATAGATGTTGTAACCACACACCCTGAATATGGAGCCATAATACTTTTATAATGATGTAAGAATGTACCCCCACACCGTGTAATGATTCTTACTAAAAATGGTGTAATAATGACATCATCGCAGTTCATCACTACTGTCTACATGGCTCATAACTCGTGGAACTTTCAACTCCACCC